TCAGATGGTGAGTCGAGCGCCTTATCCACCTGGCCATGCCGAAGAAGAATTAACTTTGAATGAAGTTAATAATGGTTGGAGATGGCTTGAATGGGTAATGAAGAAAAACTTTAATATAAGTTTAACAGTATAACAATATAAGTTACAGTATTCTTGTACCTGATGATGAGAAAACCTTGTCGAAACGTTGTACATTTGCTGTTATGTTAAACTTATATTACTTTTTTTCTTCATTACCCATTAAAGCCGTCTCCAACCATTATTAGTCTCAAAGTGGGTTCCTCATCATCGAATTTGAATGAGTTGCTGTTCGCTGATAAAGCAAAACCATAGCCAAATTCAGTTAGTTATATAAAAAGAAAAAAAAACATAACTCGACGAGTCTTTAGATTGTCTAGGGTAGGCTGTTTTTGGTTTTAGGTGAAATATATTAAAATTTATAGTACTACTTGTCAGATATCGAAATGACATAAAAAATAATAATTTTGTATAAAACAAAGAATTTCTATTAATGGAGAACAATGTTTAAAACGTTCTGACTTACTATATGTGTATAATATGGATTTATTATCCCCTTCCAGTGTTAAGTACTATCCATTTTTATTTATTTGTCGAAAAGTAAAATCAGTATTTTCTTATGTTAGAATTAAGTTGATATTTTGGAATTTATATATTGATTATGATGATTAATATGTTGTATATTATGGCTCACGTTGACATAGCATGAATCATAGTTAAGTTAATTTAAACTGAAAATCTTCATTTTAATTTAAAGTGAAAAATCCTGGGCTCAAACCCCAATCCCGGATCTTCTTTTCACTTATCGATTTTTTTTTCCCCGTACAATAATGTTTGTTAGAAAGTTTACTTTCATTGACTCATAATATGAATTACACATATTAATAATATATGAGTCTTTCTAGACTTGTATGATTTGATTGGACGGTGGTAAATCAACGCACTAATTGCCTGACCATAAAAACAATCGTAGAACGAAGTTCGTACACATAGTAAAAAAAAAGTCTTAAGTGTGAAAAGAGATAGCTTAGATAGCTCAACATTACACTTGTTTTAACACCATTAAAACGCGGATATATTAAAGCAAAAAAAGACTTACAAGTTGAAATGTCACGTTAAAATATAAGGTTTTTATTTTTTGCAGTTTTTACAGAGTTCTTTGTAAAATCGATTTACAGCACTAACTAGTAATGTTTCTATAAGTAAGAGCACTACAGCTAGCAATAATTCGAACATAACAAAAAACGGGAACCTATCAAGACTAGAATAAAACCTATATTAACCAATTGTAATCTTAAAATTGTTAATTTCAGAGGTCCGTGGCTACGGAGATCATGAATTTTTTGGAAATAGTCAAGTTCCTTCAAATCCTCATACTTTGGATTCACGATATGGGCAAAGCCAACACTTAGAGAGCAGCACGAGTTCAAATGTAAGAGTCAGAAGGTCAACAGAAAATGAAGAGCAATTATTGAATGTGAGTTCACTGGCAACTAACCAATCATTAAGTTGCAATCGTTTTGAGATGTATGTAGATTTTGAACAAATCGGCTGGTCAGATTGGATCCTTTCTCCGAAAGGCTATAGAGCTTTCTATTGTAAAGGTAGATGTGATTTTCCTTTTGGTCAAAACGAACACCCATCGAATCATGCTACTGTTCAAAGCATTGTGAATAAGCTTAATTTGGTTGATGGGGTACCTGAACCTTCTTGTGTACCTAACAAGCTGAGTGCCTTTTTACTACTGTACCGCGACGATGGCGGGAGCGTTGTGCTCAGGAGGTACGCTAACATGGTGGCAGATAGCTGTGGCTGTCATTGAATACAGCAAGAAGAAGCTCTAGTACCCATAACTTAAATGTATTAGATGATCAATTTGTACGTTTTAGCCGCGAGTTGACTGGTCTCCTGTTTAAGTGAACAAAGCCATCTGTCTCTAGAGCTCTCATATCTCACCTTTTAGGTAGTTTAGCTTGTAATAAGCACTTGAACTAGAACTGACCAGCGAGTCGTTGGATTCTTTATTAGTAGAAAGACATAGTGTCCTTCAAGAGATCGTTCAACCTCCAGAAGACCTATTGGTTTCTAACTACCCCAGCTTGGTTGAACTACAGGTACTTGAGAACAGTGGTTTGTGATACTGGTGTACAGTTCGTACTCCGAAACACTGGCATCTGGAAACTATAACTACTTTGAATTATAATTTTTTTTTCGTTATTTTAAATTTATGTAAAATTTTAAAAGGAAATATCAACTGAAATAACTTATTGTTAGCTTTTTTCTGGAAACTGTTTTCTCTCTTTTTATGGCGGAGTTGTGTTTTGTCATACACAATGTTGTATTTCCAAAGCTCAGAATATGTTCTTTTTTAGTAAAACAATTATTTTAAACCAATTCAACTATTATACCTATATAAAAATTTTATCAAGAACAGTAATCAATTAATATAAACCACCGTCTGCTAAGCACTTTAATCTAATGTTCACCACTTATCTATTGCTGAAGTTCTGAAACATCACTTACAAAGGTGATTCACGTGTATATCGATTTCATTCTTTTATTTAACCTTAAGGTGATGTGTACATATTCCTGTATAACCGATCTCAGATTCTGGCAAGTTTCTAGATTTTGTTGTTTGCGTCACGAGTAAACAACCTTAAAACAATATTTTTGTTTAAAATGCTACATCTCTGATCATAAACCTATTCTGTATTTCCGTTAAACGTATTACAGGCTTATCTAATCATTTTTCAATACACAGAGTTATAATTTTCTACACAGTTGCACATAACATCTACACCAACGCTCATGTCCGAATGAAAAAATTATGCTGACCAGACTTAGTATAAATTAACGCTTCTCGTCTTCCCGCTTTTAAGGGGTTTTGATGTCAAATGGAGATCTAGTTTTTCTGCGAACCATTGACAATACAGGATTTATAGATTTTATATACGCATCAGACGTTTTACTTCTATAATGATTACTTTATTCCTCACTCAGACCTTCCATTTAGAGACTGTTTCATCCCGGACCCCTAACCTCAAAATATAATCATACAAGCTGTATCAGTCATATTGAATTGACTGCAACTGCATGTTTAGATTTGAATTTAACCTTTATTTTTCTATGTTAATGCTCTAGTATTGTTTGAAAGACATTTCTTTCTTGTAGACTACAAGATGTAAAGAAACTCACAGTGGATTTCTGGTTTGCTTTAGCACAGAATATTCAGTAATCCCATTTCGAGTTTTCTTTAAGAAATGTTCATAAGTAGTTTTTAGCCATTTCTGATTACTTCGAGCAACTGTTAACAACTCTGCTTTTTGCTCAATACCAGTTTTGTATTAACTATAATTGTTTCTCACTGGAAACCTCCAATTATCCTGTTAAGAATGCATGCTAAAAAATGTCATAATTCGCAAGTACTGTGTTTTATCAAATCATTTGGCCTAGCTGGATCTCCTGTTCTGCCAACAATTATTAAACCATTTGACCTAGCAAGATTTCCTTTTATGTCAATAACGCTCAGACTATCATTTTTGTATTTTGATAAGTGCATTATAAAGTGAAAAAGTTGAAATGGACTTTAAATAGGAAATATATATGTATAAAGTAGTTACGAATTTTGCTTATTTTATACTAAAACCGACACAGTGAAATCAAACCTAGCTAATATGGCTTCGGCTCAGTTTAATAAACAGAGCGATGCCTAGAGTAACAATACCGAAGACAAGTTTGATCAAGCATGTGTCAACAGTACCTTTCATAAAGTTGTCAAAGTTTTAATCTATATATTTTGACTTAACGTTAATAATATAGCAACACCAAGTAATACTGACATGGTCAAGATAGACTTCATCAAATAAATTATATGACGAAGACAACTTTAAGCAACAGTTTATAAACAACAAGGTAAGTGGATCTTAACAACTAATGTCAACATAATAATGGTTATAATATTGGCAATATTGCAATAATTATGAGCCAGTTCTTTTAGTAATTATTTCCGAAGTCAAGATAGATTAGACAGTTAGTTTGTTGTAATAAGAGAAGTCAAGTGAGATTTGTCCGATACTGTCATTTCCAATAGGAAGAGCAATATCATCAAAAGTGTACAACATATATAATATTAATTTAAAAAATAGGCTTTATGATATTATGTGCAAAAAATTACATGTTCGCGAAGGATGTTTACCCAATAGTGATTATATCAACTACAGTTTGAAAGATAAAAAAACTGGCCTGTGTTTCCCGCATAACTAAATTTAAGGGTAACTGTAAGGTTTTATTTATGAGTTGTAGAGCCAGTTAAATTGTAATGTACATATAGATGTTAAATCATAAACTAGCTATGTCCAATAAATAAACTACAAAATCCATTTAACATGTTAAGAGTAAGGATTTTGGTGTGGCAGTATGATTAAATTAGACTATATAACTACAGTATCAACAAGTGTAGAGACTATTTAATGAAATGCATAAAGCTCATTACATTTACAACTCACCCTTAATTGTTTGTTTGGAAGGGATTATATTGTAGATTTAGCAAAAATTTACAATTAATGCAACATTTTTGTAACATTTATGTAGATTGTTGTCAGCAAGAATATATGAGTACTGAGATTACATGTTAAGTTGGCCTAAGTTATTTCTGTTTTTTTGTATATAGCAACCATCAGGACAATATTGTGGAAATAAAAACCAATGTTAAATAATTCTGTTTGCTGGATTAAAAGTCTGGAATTTTTTTACAATACTCTAAACATAACAAGAGGGAATCCTCAATAGCCGCAGCACTTGAAATTCTTTTAGGCAGGATTAGAGTAAATTAATCTATGAGACCTTGGGCGTGGCCAAATATATCAATCGAAAGGGTTTGACAACCTGAGTCCAAAACTATAATTAGATATCAAATCGGTCAAGAGATGACGGAGATATGAGCTAAAAGTTTGTACTTAAAAACTCAGAGCCATTCTATGAGACGCTATGCCTCGGCTAATAAAAATACAGTACTAAAAGTCAATCGGCGACGAGAAAGAAATGATCTGTCATGATCATGCAGTGTAAAGTATTCAACTTTGATGAAAGACTGATAATACCAATTTATCTTAACAGCATGAATAATTCAATTACAAATACAATCTACAGCAATAGAAAACAATCTCGTGTCCTCCTTATGCGTTTTCAACTTAATTAAACTTTCTTCTCTTGGGAAAGAATTGATAAAATATAAATTTAGGATTAGATATCAGAGTCATTTGTTTTTTCACCAATCTCACGATAATTTAGGATTAATGATACGAATATTTTTTCTGTCGGAAGATTTCACAATAAAAGTGAAGGTTTCGCTTATTATAAGTTCTTTCAAGTAAAGACGGTTGAGACATTTTCAAAAGAGTTCAATGACTTAATTAGGAAAAAAAGATGTTCTATGATTATGTTACAAAAAAAATGATTATTTTGGAGAACGTATGATAGTAAGCATATTAACAATTTAGTTTTATAAAGTTACAAATGGTTCTTCGTCCTTTTAAGTAGAAATAAAATTTATGAACTGAAAGTCTAAATACTTTTTAAAGAATTGATAATATCAGCTTTAGAAAGAAATTAGTTTTAAAAAAAAGTAAAAATATATGGCTTAAGAAAGAGGATCTATGGCTTTTGGGCCCCCAGTGGTATAGCGGTATGTCTACGGACTTACAACAGATGGTGGGCAGAGCACAGATAGCCCATTGTATAGCTTTGTGCTTAATTACAAACAAACAAACAAACTATAGATTTTGGAAAGCTGAGCAACTTTACAAAAAACATTTAGGACTTTTTTTTTTTACTTGCAATAGATATTTGGTATTATCATCCTGAAAGCACATTATCCACAGTTGTGTTGATCGGCCAAGTCAGTGAACCCTACCCCACTTCCCACTTAGGGTTAAGTCATTTTTGAACTGCTGACCAGAAAAAGAGGTAGCCAATCAGTAGTACCCACCATACAAGTCTTAATGAACATACAATAGTTGAAAAGGTCATTGTTAAATCCAGCACTCTAAAAACGTAGATCAGAATAGAAGATTTATTTGCTTATTTGAAAATGCATCATTTTATAACGAATATTCACCCATACGTTCTTCCTACCAATTTATCTTCTCGTATAATATACAATCCTAAATGGCCCTTTCTGAAATTAACATTTTGTTCCATTGAACTGAAACATAATTCTTGATCGAGCATAATGCTTTATGTATATAAATATATATATAATTTGCAAATAAAAGGTGTTACAAATCACTCTCGTGTTTGTTTGTTTTTATTTTGCTGGAGACAGGTCTTAATAGATGATTACCTGTGTACCTTAAAACCAATATTAACAGAAAGCATAGCCAGTTTACAAACCTTTAACCAAACACAAAAAGGAACTACTTTCTTAATGTAAAACATATAAGACGTTCTCATTAGTTCAAACTTTAATGAATCTTTTTTTTCGTTAAATTATGCTGTTGTTGAAATGCTTCAAGTACCTTCAAACTGACTACAATATCACTACTTAATAATTAAAAAAATCAAGAAAACTGCTTGCCGTAGAAATACAAGACACGAATCATTCTTTTCCAGTGCGAAACGAACTACAGTGCTGTCTTTCCTTATAAGAATTTTCTATGAACTGTTACATAAGCAAAATGTCTCAGTTTTAAAGACTTTCCTTAATTTCACATCCACTGTATTTTCCTCAAGTTTCATTGCACGTTTTCGATGAAAATTTTCAGCTTGGCTCAAAGTCTGAACTATTTTTCCAATAAGACTCAGAAACTACTAAACGAAATACTAATATAGTTATTTTACCGGTTTACCAAGTTATAATCCTAATAATTTGGAATAATTTTAGATTTTCTTACATCTTCGTCATGTTCGTTAAACTGAATGTAGTGTTCTTTATAATAATCAAATTTTAACCCAAAATTTCCAATTTGTCTGTATGTAGTGGATTCTATAAGATATTTCAATGTAAACTTTAGAATGAATGATTGAATAAGTAAAATGATCGTACAATAATTCGAAAAATCACACCAAAAATGATAATACTTTAATTAAGCTGTGTTGAGCATAGCTTGACATGACAACATGACTTATAACGACATAATGAGGCTGTAAACAGTTTTAATATAACGTACTCAACCTCTTTATATTAAACCTGAGAATTCTTATAAGACTTTTCGTTGTCTTCCAAAGTATAGCATACAATAAAAGATTAAAA